GGGCCCAGGAGATAGTGGACCCTGAAAAAGGGTCCACCAGAACTGAGAACACATGTCGTCGGGTAAAGGTAACAAATGATTGGTTTACTTACAAGAAGCAGTCCACTTTACTGCGATGACGGGACAATCCTATTCAGCCAAAGCAAGGGAAGAGTGGACTAAATGACGAATGCCAAGAAGCATCGTCTCTTGGCCCGGTCCGCTGTCGGGTTCGATCCTGTCACCGGTCGGAGCCGGAGAGATAACCTTCACGGCGTCGTGTGATTCACGGTGACACGGTGCAGCGTCCGGCTAAGGAAGACCCGATGACCGCAAATGTAGCAAATGTTCCAAAACGTTGTTCGATTTGCGGTTGAATCTCAACGGCCCGATATGGACAACCCGAGGAAGGGCAAAGCGAACGATTCAACACGGATTACTAGACTACATAGTAAGGGGAATCACCGTGGCGAACCACTGCAGCCCGTCCCGAAGACAAAGACACAAGTTCCCCGACGTCACTGATAACGAGGCATTTTCAGCTGCTTGGCAACTACCTCCAACACGGTTTTGCACTCTGGATCAGCATCCTGAGTTTCGGGCTTGGTGGTTTGGCAAACGGTGGTACTCTGTGGAATGATGACATGCCCGGGGTTCCTGGAGTGGATATTGATGACGGCGACAAGGGTGTGTCTTTGTCCGCTTTCAAGGCCAACACATCCAACCAAACACACACAGCGAAACACACTCTCTGAACACTGTCAATGATCGCTTGTTGGCGTCACTCTGCTCTCCAAAGCGGCTCCGACGCCTTGTGTGCCACAGCAGACGGATCTAACCGTTTCTTCTCCGGCCTCGTCCCCTCCCAGCCTACGCATGTTCCATTCACGAGCCGTCACTACTCACCACGTCTGTTTTGGGCCAAAGAATGAAGCCATCGTGACGGCACCTGGGTGCTGCAACCGAACATTCAACAACCAAGGCATTTTCCGTTGGCTCCAGGACCGGCCGGTTCACCACCAAAACAAACAGTAGTTGCAACCAGTCCGTCCGCACCGTTGAGCATTGGCACCGTCCACACGCCGGCCGAGAAGCCTTACAGGGCATAACACCCAAAGGGTCCAACAGACCCGAATCTTGGCATCTATCGGCTGTGTGTGACCAATGACTCTGAGATTTCGACGCACAACCACGATTCGAGAAGGAGGAAATACTCGACGTGTGGTTGGCTCTTTTTTTGATTGCCTCAAGGTACCTCAAGATCGTGATTGTCACAGAGCAATGGCTTCAAGTTGTCTGCGATCAATCACAAGCCAAACGAGAGCGACTGACCTCGTGAGGCCGTTTTATTTCCGACCCGGCATGACAACAGCGGCGTAGCTTATCTGGCTCACTTTAACATCACATAGCTTGAGTCTATCGTGAGATCCGCCCAGCAAATCGTGGGAAATCGGGAGTCTGAGACGCGTTGATTCTATTTCCGAAATCGAGGGCATGTCAACCGCGTCTCGTCAAGCGAGAGTAAGTAGGTACCTACCTGCCTGCGCATGTACTCGGCGCATGTACTCGACGCAAGTACAAGTGAGATCCGACGCACGTATCCTTAACGGAGGCAGGAGCCGCACTCATGAACCTCAAACCCTCAACATCCTTAAGGATGATGGGTCAGACTTACGGTTCTGCGGGGCTTGCAAACAATCTGTTCATTGAAGCCAATCCTGTCCCGGCTTCCTTCACGATGATCACCGATTTCTTTCAGGAGACAGAGGAGGGTTGCTTGGTCCGTTACGCAAACGGGCCGCACTTAGCCCGCGAGGACCGTAACGTCCGTGGATACTGGCGACTTACCAAGCATCCCGGTCGACAAGGAGACAAGCCACACCCGACACATGCCTTCGATTGTAACCTACCAGAACCGTCACTTATACGCGCAGGCCCACTCAACATGGCCGATCAGGCCCAACACTTGCCATTTCTTGTTCAAACTACGGGACCAGGGTCTCGAGTTCGACCCTGCGTAATGTAGGTACGTAGCCAGAACGAAAGTCAACCAAAGGGACGCAGCGCATATGTGTATGCCAGGCCGGATCGTCATGGCCGACTGGATGACATGTGTATAAAGGAACCGAAACCCCCCCATCTACCTCCACTGATCTTTCTTTGTCTCCATATTATAACATTCTGTGATCTTCAAGTCTAGCCATATCCTACACTACACCCATCACCCCTTGAAGGTTTCCATCAACACGACGTCACCGCGTTTGGACTTGGGACATATTAGACTCTGCTCTGCTCTTCCATCTTGCAATCTTTCCGACTCTCTTCGCCCAACAACCACAGGCACACCACAAGCAGCCTCAAGCACCGAACCACCAAACACACAAATCATCCTTGCTACACACACTACTAGTCAAAATGGCCCCCAACAGTACTACCAAGAAGGCGGTCCACTTCGGTGCTGGCAACATTGGTATGTGCCTTCCATTTCCTCCCTCCCTCCCCCGACATTCCCCGGTTTGAACATCCCATACGCTAACCTGCACTCTTCTTCCTCTTAGGTCGTGGATTCGTTGCCTGCTTCCTCCACAACTCTGGATATGAAGTCATCTTTGCCGATGTCAATGGCGATCTGATCGACTCGCTCAATGCCAGCCCCTCCTACAAGGTCATCGAGGTGGGAAGCGAGGGAACAGAGGAATCGACCATCACCAACTACCGCGCCATCAACTCCCGTACCAACGAGGAAGAGCTTATCCAGGAAATTTCCACGGCTGAAGTGGTGACTTGCTCCGTCGGCCCTAACATCCTCAAGTTCATTGCCCCTGTTATCGCCAAGGGTATCGACCGCAGATCCGAGGACCTGCCCCCAGTGGTTGTCATTGCCTGCGAGAACGCCATCGGAGCGACGGATACGCTTGCCGAGTACATCAAGGACCCCAAGAACACTGACCCGAGCCGGTTGGCGGACTATGACAAGCGCGCACGGTTCGCCAACTCGGCCATTGATCGCATTGTGCCGGCCCAGGATCCCGACGCTGGTCTGGATGTCAAGCTCGAGAAGTTTTATGAGTGGGTCGTCGACCGTACTCCCTTCAAGGACATGTCGCCGCCAGACATCAAGGGCATCATGTGGGTCGACAACCTGCTGCCCTACATTGAGCGCAAGCTCTACACTGTCAACACCGGCCACGCGACAGCTGCGTACCACGGTTACATCCGCCGCAAGAGCACCGTCTATGATGCCCTCCAAGATAAGGATATTCAAGAGGAAGTCAAGAAGGCACTCGACAACACTTCCCACCTTATCACGCAGAAGCACGGCATCGACGAGAAGGCCCAGTACGAGTACGTTGACAAGATTGTCAGGCGCATCAGCAACCCTCACCTGGAGGATGCCGTCGAGCGCGTAGGCCGTGCCCCATTGCGGAAGCTGTCCCGCAAGGAGCGGTTCATCGGCCCTGCAGCCGAGCTTGCCGAACATAGTAAGGACTGCAGCGCTCTGCTCGACGCCGCTGAGATGGCATTCCGCTTCCAGAACGTCGAGGGAGACGAGGAGTCCGCCGAACTTGCCAAGATCATGGCCAACAACAAGGCTGAAGATGTTGTCAAGCAGGTCTGCGGCTTGAACGAGAACGAGAAGTTGTTCCCCAAGGTGGTCGAGATTGTACAGCGCGTACAGGCCGACTCGCAAGACGACTAGCTGGATTCATTTCTGTCAACTTGTGTTTTAAACCATTCTTTCTTTGATGATTTATGATGAATGAGCGAAGACTCAGCGAACAGGAATAGGGCAACGATGGTCGTTGACACTCGGGATCTGGAGAAACTGGCGTTCATGTATACTTTTGGTTGTTTTTTTCTGGGATATCAACAGGGAGCATTACGACTGGGATCAATGGCGTTTTTAGCCGGGATTGTACTGAAATCCCGAGAGGCTTGTGTTTTCTTTTCTATTCATTATCGCGCAATCACTAGAGGCGTGCCGCATTAGTAGATACAGTTCAGGTCAATAAAAAAGCACTCACACATAATGTTTGTCCATGTCCAGATAGTGTTGGCCGCATGTGCAGGTCTTTAAAATCAGCCAGTGCTCCAGATTGCTTGTGGTCTAGTTTGGGCTGGTTTAGGATATGTTCTTGGTGGTGAGCACAGCGGAATGACATGACGAGCGGCCTTCATCAGTCACGCCTTATGTCGGTCACGTTGCTGAGAGTTTGTGGCATTCCGAATTTTGCCATTGGTACGTCGTAGGACACTGGTGAGTGATTGTTTCCCAAAATGTGTAGAACCTTAGTAACCCTCAAAGCAATCGGTGCGTTCGCGCAATTGCTTTATTTCTGACTGATCTCCCACGCGGTTGGTTTCTGAACTTGATTTGGTGATGGTGATGGCTTCAATCACACTGAATGCAACGACGATGAGGGGGTGCCAAGAGATCTGCAAAGTGGTTTGTCGTGGCCTTAGGCAGCAGCTGGCGGGCGCATTGACAGCAGACCGGCAGCTGTACCCACTTGACCGCCTGAGGGACGAGAGTGGCCCGAGCGGCGAGCAGACCACAGCCGCGAAATTGTGGGAGGCGGCCGGTCGAGATACGTGGCGGGCACCTCTACAACCGTCCGCTGTCATTTCCGGCCCGTCGCATCAAACTGTCAAGGTCTCCGACGCCTCTATTCCGAATTCTCGCACCGCCAACCACGTCCCCTCGGCGGACCAGATACCTAATACACCAAATACGACAATTACACAACTCCCGATAGCTTTACCCCTGACGAACCCGACGGCGGCTTTCTTGTACGGTCAGGGACCATCTCCAGCATCCAGCACGCACCCCACCTGAAGCTTGGAAGCTCGAGAACCGTTACGACCGCCCCCGTCCTCTAATTCCAACTTGTAAACAACACACACCACATACCCACGCCAAACTCGCCCAACATGAGGCTGGATGTCAAGGCAAGTTCACACAGGCTTCGTGCTTGCACCACCATGGCTGTGTCACCGAGAGACATTCGAACAGCAGGATGTTGCAACCTGGCGCACTCGCACCTCTCGGCTTTCGCCTGGGATCTTGCAGTTGCCCCTATTCTGCCTGCTGTTCCGGCACCTCGACGGCCAGCTCCATTGCGCCGACACGTCCATCATCACACAGCTGCCTCCAACTGGACTAGTTCTCATCAATAAACACCTGCTAATATGTCTGTCCACATACAGCGCCAGTTGTTTGCCCGCTCCGAGGTTCGTTACCTGTCTTCTTGAACCCCTGATTCCAGTAAACAAGGAAGGAATCTTCCAACCATTTGAGGTTCCCAATGCTCACCCATATCCCACATACAGCGAGTCAAGGGCATCGACTTCCATCCTACCGAGCCATGGATTCTGAGTACGTCTTGGTTCGACATCGCGATACAATGGGGAGGCCCTGAGTTCTGACACTGTTTCGGTTATTAGCGACCCTCTACAGCGGCCACGTCTATATCTGGTCATACGAGACACAACAAATCGTCAAGACCTTCGAGCTTACTGATGTCCCCGTCCGCGCTGGTCGCTTCATTGCGCGAAAGAACTGGATCATCTGCGGTTCCGATGACTTGTATGTTGGCCTTGGAGCTTGGGTTGCGGGCACTGGACCGCTAGTGCTAGACAGGGAGGCTGACCTGGAATTGCAGCCAAATTCGAGTCTACAACTACAACACGAGCGAAAAGATCACATCCTTCGAGGCGCATCCCGACTACATCAGAGCCATTTGCGTCCATCCTACACAACCCTTCGTCCTTACCGCTAGTGATGACATGACGATCAAGCTTTGGGATTGGGAGAAGGGATGGAAGAACGTGCGGGTATTCGAGGGCAACTCACGTATGGCGTTATCAGCCCAATTCGAAACAGAAGCAGCGCGCATGCTAACGGAGTTTCAGACTACGTCATGTCCCTCGCCATCAACCCCAAAGATACCAACACCTTTGCTTCGGCATGTTTGGACAGGACAGTCAAGATCTGGAGCTTGGGTTCCTCCACGCCAAACTTCCAGCTTGAGGCGCACGAGACCAAGGGCGTCAACCATGTCGACTACTATCCCCACAGCGACAAGCCCTACCTTCTCACAACTTCTGATGACGTGAGTTATGTCGACATGTGCCGGCGCATAGGACTTCTTAGCTGACTTAGTGGCGTAGCGCACGGTGAAAGTATGGGATTATACCACCAAGAGCTTGATCGCCACTCTTGAAGGTCACACCAACAACGTGTCCTTTGCCTGCTACCACCCAGAGCTGCCCATTATCATCTCTGGCTCGGAAGACGTACGTTGACATTTGCACCTGTTCCGTTACAAGCGGACTCATACTAACCTGCAACAACAGGGCACGATAAGGATATGGAACGCCAACACGTATAGGTTCGAGCAATCGCTAAACTACGGCCTGGAGCGCGCTTGGTGTGTGTCGTATCAGAAGGGCAAGCAGGGTATTGCTGTTGGTTTCGACGATGGTTCAGTGGTCATCAAGCTGGGCCGGGAAGAGCCCGCTGTGTCGATGGATGGTTCGGGCAAGATTGTGTGGGCCAGGCACAACGAGGTTGTCTCTGCTGTGATCAAGGGTGCTGGTAAGTGCAAATTGGGGTGTCGTGGAGTGGTGCTAAGCTAACAGAGTTAGATGCCGATATCAAGGATAACGAGCCCATCACACTCACCACCAAGGATCTTGGAACCGCCGAGGTCTATCCCCAAAGTCTCATCCACTCTCCCAACGGTCGTTTCGCGGCTATTTGCGGCGACGGCGAGTACATCGTTTACACGGCGCTCGCCTGGAGAAACAAGGCATTCGGTCAAGCCCTCGACTTTGTGTGGGCTTCCAAGGAGTACTCAAGCACGAACGAGTTCGCCATTCGCGAGTCTCCCACCAGCGTCAAGATCTTCAAGAACTTTGAGAACAAGGTCGGCGGTCTTGACGTTCCCTTCGCTGCCGATGGCCTTACCGGCGGTGTCCTTCTGGGTGTCAAGGGTCAAGGCGGCATCTCCTTCTACGACTGGCGGACGGGTGGGCTTGTCAGACGCATTGAGGTGGAGCCCAAGCAGGTGTACTGGAGCGAGAGCGGCGAGCTGGTTGCGCTTGCCTGCGAGGATAGCACCTACGTCCTTAGGTTCTCGAGGGAGAACTATAACGAGGCGGTCCAGGCTGGTCTTGTCGAGGATGATGGTGTTGAGGCTGCGTTCGATGTCGTTACCGACATCAGCGAGAGCATCCGTTCGGCGGAATGGTTGGGAGATGTCCTGATCTACACTAACAACACCAACCGTCTCAACTACTTGGTTGGTGACCAGACTTACACCATCGCCCACTTCGACAAGCCCATGTACATCCTGGGTTATCTCCAGCGTGATGGTCGCGTCTACATCACAGACAAGGATCTTAATGTCACCTCTTTCGCCCTCTCACTCCCCGTTCTGGAGTATCAGACTCTTGTCCTCCGTGAGGATATGGAGACGGCTGCCGAGCTACTCCCAAGCATTCCTGAGGATCAGCTCAATAAGATTGCCCGCTTCCTCGAGGGACAGGGCCACAAGGAGCTCGCGCTTGAGGTGGCGACTGACCCTGAGCACAAGTTCGATTTGGCGCTATCGCTTGGCCAGCTCCACATCGCCCTCGACATTGCGCGGGAGACTGATGCGGATCACAAGTGGAAGACCCTTGGTGATGCGGGTCTCGCTGCTTGGGATGTTCCTCTTGCCACCGAGTGCTTCGTCAAGGCAAAGGATCTCGGTTCGCTGTTGCTCGTCTACAGCTCGACGTCAGACCGCGAAGGACTTGCCAACCTCGCCAAGCAAGCTACAGAGGCCGGCGCGCACAACGTGGCCTTCAGCGCCAAGTGGCTCCTCGGCGACGTCGAGGGCTGCATTGAGATTCTCAAGAACACCAACCGTCTCTCGGAGGCTGTGCTCTTCAGCCAAACATACAAGCCCAGTCTCACACCCGAACTGGTGGCGGCCTGGAAGGAGAGCCTGGAGAAACAGAAGAAGGGCCGTGTCGCCAAGGTGTTGGGCGTCCCTGGAGAGGACTCTGAGCTCTTCCCCGAGTGGGATGAGTACCTGAGACTTGAACAGGAAGGACCTGCTGCTGGCAATCTGATTGATATCGATGCCGAGGAGGCCCAAGAGGAGTCGCCGGTAGAAGAGGAGGTAGCTGAAGAGCAGGAAGAGGAGGCAGAGAAGGAGGTTGAGGCAGAGGAGGAGTAGAGCCACGTTTCTGCGCCATCCGAGGAAGCGGAGAACGGAGAGGAGTTTGCTTTGTGAAGAGGACTGAAGAAGCAATTACAGACATTGAGATGCTATGAAGGCGGAGGAGACGCCCTCCCTCTCTTGACCGGCACGGCTTTTTACTAGATATGATAGCATTGGTAGTGGCCGAGGCATGGTGGTTGTTGGCAGTTTTCAAAAACGGGATGCAGTTGGCGCGCTTGCTGGTGCCGTGTTTGTGGCCCGTATAGTAGTCCGAGCTTTTAGTTACCTTTTGATAATGGATGAATAGTGAACTAATTTTGATGTCTCAACTTTCAGTTTCTGTTCGGGATGAAGATGCCGACGAGCTCGGACAGCGAACGCCCCTGAGGCCCCGTCCTGGTGTCGGTGATCGGGAGTCCGTCGGGGTCTATCGATGTCCCGAAAGCTGAGACTGGCAGGGGGCACTGCGGAGTCATGAACCCTGCAGATTGGCGGACACGGCGGCCAAGGCGGGTCAGTCAGCGGTCCAGTCAGCGGTCCAGTCAGCGGGTCATCGAGGGTCATAGAGCGGCCGTCGCATGCGTGTCGTTGGGGGACACTGGGGTGTTCGCTGGATCTCTGGCGGAGGATGGTTGGAGTCTTGGAAATTAAAGTATCGATAGATCTGGTATTCGGAACCGATGCCGCAGAAAAGTAAGCGCTGAGACGAAACCGCACTAGGAAGATCACTTTTCTCTCTCTCTTTTGTTTTTTCTTCTGTCGTTGGCGTCAGAGGCTTTTCTTCCCGCTTTTTACTCGGATCTGACGTTGTCTTGCTTTTTACGGTCAGCGGTATTTCTTACTGGCGTCGAAGCTACTGCACACTAAGAAGAGCCTTGCTGTCTTCCTTGTCTCTCTTCTCTCTCTCGTCTGTCTCTCTGACATCCAGTTCGTCTGGTCTCTTTTTCGTTCTGACAAAACCCTTGTTTCGAATATCTCTTACACAAACGATCTACATACAACCGCTCCTCCGCCCCCTTCCTCCGAACGGGTTCTTTTAAAAGGCTTTGATCTTAATACGATACCCCAGAAATAATACCCTACCTACACTAGACAACAACACCACTCACAACCTCCAAACGGCCTTGCTGCGTTTCCCCAACTTTACCGAACGGCATCGGACGAATCGTGCATCACGGCAAAGTCGGTCTGGTCCAACTGTCGCATAGCATAACGATTCCTGTAAAGGTTGTTACGTACGATACAACGCGGCACAAAGACGAAGAAGAAGCCAAAAAGTTTTTAGGATATATCAAGATAATTACAACAAACAAGCAAAAAATATGACGGGTTCAGTCGCCGATGCCTCCGCCGCTAGCGGCACCGAAGTTGGGTACCCCAATGGCCACCTGGGACACCTCAAGCCGGAAGAGCAGGAAGCGCTCGAACGCTTCAAGACTCATCTGGCGGAAAAGGGATATTATAAGCCAGGGCCGCCGCCTTCGCATGACGAACAGACTTTGCTGTATGTTTTTTTTCCCTATTTTTATTGTCTCTTTTCCGGGACCAATTTGTGTTGCGACGCCGCAAACTTTGCGACAAGTTGCGACTTTGCGACTTGCGACTTGCGATTTGCGATTTGCGATCTGCGACTGCATTGGATGTGCCTCCATGCGCCAATGCGCAAGGATGCGGATCGCACGGGATTTAGTGGTGATGGTGGTGACGGACCGAAAAAAATTGCAGAATCGAATTGGGAAAGCTAACCATTGAATGCCGTACACAGACGATACCTGCGCGCCCGGAGATGGAGCGTGGTTGATGCGTTCAAGCAGTTGAAGGAGACGGAGGATTGGCGCAAGGCGAACGACCTGAACGTTCTGTACGACACCATCGACCTCGAGGCGTACGAGGCCAGCAGGCGGTTGTACCCTCAATGGACGGGTAGAAGAGATAGGAGGTGAGTCGTTATACCCTCCCTGTCCTGGATAACACCTCCGTTCCTGTTTTCCGAGAGAAATTGTACATATGTGCTGACATTATGACCCCTTCAACACAGAGGCATCCCCCTCTACCTCTTCGAGATCCGCCACCTCGACTCCAAGACCGTCTCCGCCTACGAAAAAGCCGCCGAAACGAACCCGTCCAAGGCCGTCACCGACGGGCAGACCTCCCCCAAGCTCCTGCGCCTCTTCGCTCTCTACGAGAACCTCACGCGCTTCGCCCAACCCTTGTGCTCCGAGCTGCCGGACCGCGCCCACGCCACCACGACGCCCATCACGCTGTCGACCAACATCGTCGACATCAACGGCGTGTCGCTCAAGCAGTTCTGGAACCTCAAGTCACACATGCAAGCAGCCTCACAGCTGGCCACCGCGCACTACCCCGAGACCCTGGACAGGATTTTTATCATCGGCGCCCCTTACTTCTTCAGCACGGTGTGGGGCTGGATCAAGCGCTGGTTCGACCCCATCACCGTTTCCAAGATCTTCATCCTGGGGCCGCACGAGGTCAAGGCCACGCTGGAGGAGTTTATCGATCCCAAGAACATCCCCAAGCAGTACGGCGGCGAGCTGGACTTTACGTGGGGCGATCAGCCCAAGACGGATCCGTACATCAAGGAGCGGGTACACTGGGAGAACGGGCTGACGGATTTCCCCGAGGGCCCCAAGTACTGGAGGCCGACGGCTGATGGGACGCGGATGGAGTGTGTGGCGGTGGGCAGCGAGGGAGGCAAGCAGAGGATGGTTAGTGTGGGCACTCTTGAGAGGATCTGTAATGTGAAGGATGTAAAGAAGGAGGTTATTAACGGGGATGCTTTGGCCGAGGAGGTCAAGGGGTTGAGTGTTGGTGGTAATGATGAGAAGAAGGACGTTGTTGAGACGGGCGAGGAGGCTATGGTTTCTGCAGTCTCCGCTTAGGGGTCGAGCGAGATATAGAAGGGGGAGGAATCTTTTTGCCCAAGTAAACATGAGCTTTCGAAGCGGTTTGGGGATTTTCTTTGCATATATGGAGATACCTTGGGAAACCTTCTCTTCTCGGCTTTTGGCTATCGAGTCATGGGGGTTTTGTGTATATCTGGTTGGAAAGCATATACAACTTGTACAAGCAAGCAATAATAAATAGTATAAAGCGTCTCAAGCACTTGATTGTTTGTCCGGCTCATCCGGCACACCGGGAATGGCTGACTGACAGTCCCCTTGAACACATGGGTTCTATGTACCCCAGATTCCGGATGTTGGCCACGAGTCAAGTCTGGGCCTTGAAGAATGGTATCCTCCACCAACCTCCGCTGGCTACTGCAGGAACCGGAACTTTATACCTTTGGACAAGGATTGGATGTCGTTAAGTAAAGTACGACAAACAGGTTGTCAGTTGTGGAAATTGAGTCCATTCCGTGCATTCTATAAGTCGTATCGAAACCTCAAGACAACTCTTGCCTTGTCGACAGGTTGTGTCTATGTCCCTCCCCCGTCACGTCTTATAAGCCCATATCAGGTCATCCCCTCTACGCAAACCCTCTATTAGCCCTCCACTTCTGTATCCCCTTCTCCAGCTCCTCCCAATCCAGTCCGTCCCTAATCAGCTGCATCGTAACCCCAACCCTCTCCACCTCCAGATTCGGCCTCTCATCATCAAAGAATAACATCTCCTCGTACGGTATCCCCGTCCGTCTTTGAATGACCTCAAAGTGCCTCAACTTTGTCCCCTCGTAAATCTCCAGTCCACCATCAAAAAGCTCTATCGTCTTCCGTCCCTTCTCATCTGTCAACCCCCCTGCTACTGACCCTGACGACTCTTTCGACTTTGTCTTGCTCTTCTTCCCACTCTCCTCTCCCCCATTTTCCCCTTCTTCATTCACTCCCGACCCTCCGGGCGGTTTCCGTCTGAACCCCTCCACACTAGTCGGCAGTCCCCCAGGAACCCTCAACATCTTGAGCATCTCCCTGCACAAATCGCCCACGGGGCTTTTACTCGCCACCGCCAGTTTTACCCCCGCAACCTGCAGCAGGTGCAAAATGATGGGGACGTGCTTGTAAAAACTAAATTGCTCGCCATTGCGGTCGCTCAAGACGGAACCACTCAGCGCGCGAAGAGGTGGCCAGGGGTGGCAGTCGCTGTAGAAGGGCCAGAGGGTGTAGTCGAGGTCGAGGACGACGAGCGAGGGTAGGGGAAGGCCGTCGGTTAGGAAGGGTGGGAGGCCGGCGTTTTGGGGGTAGGGAGCTAGGAGGTTGGTTGTTGAGTGCGATGAAGAGGCGGGGGCGTAGACGTTTTTGGATTTGGAGAGTTTGCGTGGCATTTTAAAGGGTTTGAATTTGGTGTCGGTTAACGTTGGTTGTGATATGCACAGGCTGCGCGGGTGATGCAAGTCAGGACGTTGATATCCGAGACTTCTCGGGGTTTGACGAGCGGGTGCGTGCAGCAGCGGACGGAATCCGCGCCGGACTTTGTGTCTATCGGATGACTTAGAGTAGGCGATTCCCGAAGAGGCGTTCCCGAGGCAAGGCTTGTTGACGATAGTAAGGTTTGGTGATTTTTGTTATGTTGGTCACGAGTGTTGCTGACAATTGCTGACTGAAGATGTTTTCGCAGGATGTCGAGTTGATGTACCACCGAAGTGTGCCAATGACACAAAGAAAAAGCTGTCAGGGCCCCAATGTGTCACTGAGGTGGTGTCGTCCAGTGTTCCCCGAATTCCCATCTAATGACGGACTTAACCCCACTTAGCGACAGTGGAGGGCGGTGACGGTACCTCCAAGGTAGGTACGGCCCCCGGCAAGCTGACCGCGACCTGAGTAAGGCGGGGACTTTGCAGGGTTAGGGTACTACTAGGACGGGAAAGGTTTAGTGTTCTGTCTTGGGCTCTTGGCTTCGTCAATCCGTTGCAATCGTCTCTTCCACTTCTCCATATTTTCCTATTTCCCCAATTCCTCTCGACAACAACTAACAACGATGAATGTCCTAAGCGCAATGGCCTTTCGTTCGTACCAGCCGAGTGGCTGCTTGCGGTTCGTCTGATGTTGCTGCTGCTCTCAGCCTTTTCCCGCTTCTCCTGACGCCCATTTTCCGGCTTGTCCCGTCGTACTTGCTGCCATGTCCAGCCAGGCATACAATAGCATCGAGCTGGCTCCCGTCACCCGCCTCAATCAGCCTGAAAGTTGCAGGGTTGCTAACTAGAATTGCTTCTCTGGTTTGAGCATCATGATGGCCTGACCAGGCCAGTTCCTGAGATTATCCGGCGCCCGTCATTGGACAATCGGCCATTTCCATCCTTTATAAACCATAGCGACTCCGACATTGACCGCGTGAGAGCTGCCGCTGCAGATATGGTACTACTTTGGCTAGCATCGTGGAGTATAGAATGTCTTGGTGGCATTGCATGTGTCCGATATTCAACTGCCGTCACTGCTGGCACCGCATCTGGACTTACCCCACTGCGAGACCGATCCCCGCGTGAACACTAACAGCGAACTATGGGGTACCGAAGCTGACCTTGCTAGGTGAGGTTGGTGAGGTTATCTTCACAGATCCATACCGCCCGACAAGCCAAAGGGGACACAGCATTGGAGCTGATCGTTGATCATCGGGTGCTCCTCAAGACCGGATGTCTCCCGAGTTGGAGAAGCGTGCGCCAAGTTTAGGACAACGCCTGTCACGCGACTCAGGAACGGCTCCCAAATCAAGCCCCGTACCGACTTCTTATACACACCATTGGTCCCCTCTTTGGAGTTACACCGTCATATCTTCATCCCTTCTTCTCCAAGGTCTTCTTGTTCAGCTTCATGTCAACTTTTAACATTGCAAACCACCTCAACGGCTTCGTCCCATAAACCGAATTCCCTTCTAATCTAGACTTATATCCGAACCGCAGTGACATCATGGCTTCCGGACTCCCGGCCACTCCGCTCAAGAAGATCAGCATGGTGCGCATCGCCCATGTGTACTACAAGCACAAGAACATCGACGAAGCAAAGAGATTTGCCGAGGACTTTGGCTTCGCTCAGACTTCCGAGGTCGGCAAGAAGACATACTTCCGTGGTTATGGCACAGAGCCATTCGTTCTCTGCCTCGAGGCATCAAACGAGGACGAGTTCGGCGGCGCAGCCTTCGTCGTTGAATCCATGGAGGACTTGATGCAAGCAGCCAAGACACTCCCCAATGAATGCAAAGCCACCGACATCTACGACCTCACAGATGCCCCTGGCGGTGGAAAGTGTGTAACGTTTTATGACCCTGTCGACAAGTTCCCCTTCCATCTTGTCTACGGCCAGTCGCCGGTCGAGGCGCGGGATGTTGATTTTCCCATTGTGCGCTTCAACTTTGTAAGTCATCGTCTTTCTTCATCATGTTATTCATATGACATGATTCGCTAATCTGTCATGACTGCCAGCCTAACGAGAAGAACCGCGGAGCCAACGAATTCCAACGCTTCAAGAAGCGACCAGCACCGGTACATAAGCTGGGTCACTTCGGCATGTGTGTAACCGACTTTGCCAAGTGCTATGACTTCTACACCAAATACTTCAACTTCTTCCCTAGTGAGGTGCGTATGTTAGCGTTCGTTCGAATCCTGACGTAAGATTAACACATATACATAGCTTGTCCATAACGACGAAGGTGTCAACAAGACCGTCTTTTTCAGACTCAACCGCGGAAGAGACCTTGTCGACCACCATTGCTTCTTCTTCTTTGAGGGTCCCAAGATGCACGTCCACCACTCGTCCTTCGAGACCCACGATTTCGATACGCAGGTGCTCGGTCACGATTGGCTTCGTCATCAAGGCTACAAGAACTGCTGGGGTGTGGGTCGACACGTAATGGGCAGCCAGATCTTCGATTACTGGTTCGACCCATCCGGCTTCATTCTTGAGCACTATGTGGATGGTGATCTCCTCGATATGAATGAGCCCACACATAACACCAAGGCAGCTCCTGACAACCTACATGTTTGGGGTAAGTGACACGATAATGTACCCGCAAGGACTGATGAAACTGACTACTTCTAGGCCCTGAGGTTCCAGCCACTTTCTTGCAGTGAGCGAAGTGGGTCAATCGAGGTGATGGAGCGAAACGAGACTTGAGGTATCCGACGCTGTTGGCTGTACACTAGTGAAAGCCGTTGGGCCTTCCAAGTGTCAACTGGCATATAATTAAACCGCTTCTCAACTACATGACGCTCCGAAGTACTCCCGTATGGGTATCCCCTGTGACGACTAAATAGCTAGAACTAGCATCGAAGATCCATTAAGTGGGTGCATGCCTCGAACGGCTTCCCATCAAAACAGCGTGAATCACTTTTGTTCGAAAGAAACCAGGGGCCTTGAGTTCACAGTCACAAACAATATTCAGGATCAGGCCATGATTGCTCAAGACACCACATCGAGTTCGAGGTTCCAGTTCAAGGTATATGCGCCAATAAACGCCAATGCGAACCATGAGCTGCTAATCAAGGAAGATATGGAGCGATTCAAGACCTGACGACTATAGTACGGTGAGCTCGTCCCTGAAACAAGATCTGCGCCAGGGGCCAGGGACAGAATAACGAAAGACAAACATTCCAGAATTAGCAACGAGCATTTTGTTCTCGTTTTCCTTTCCAATCGCTTGAAACAGCGGCCTAAACGGCGACTCTGCAGGGGATAGTTCGAAAGGTGGCCGTTAAGATCCTGATGCTTCGTTGATACGCTTTTAGCATGCCATAACCCGAGAGCTCGTCTATGCCCGGTTAACAGAACCAATCATCTCCAAGGAAGTACGGGACTCCAATCGGGAACTTCTATCCCATACATCGCACACAGTATACTCCATCAATAGGTATACCAACCCCTTGGCGTTCTCGGCTGTGGTAACGACTATACCTTTTCTGCGGACAGTCAAACACGCAAGCACGCGCGGCTTTCAAGACTCACAAGGGTTATACCTATGCGAAGCGGGATTGGTATGTGTGTGGCTATAGTCCGGGTCCCGGGTGTTCAGTACCGCACTTCTCCGGCCACGCTAGACTGGTTCCTAACTCCTCTGCTCTCTAGCCTTACACAGCCGCGATACCTAGAAGCAACGAACTATGATTTCTCCACACCGTTGCGAGGTATAGGGGACAAGAAGGTATTCCCTTATTGGTTTCGGGACGGCTAAGTTACACCGTTCCGAGCCGAAGAACTGATCGCATACCTACCCACTGCACTGTCGTGCAAGCAACGTCCTCGTTAGCATATTACCAACTGAACGGCTCATCCGCTCACGAGAATTTCCTAAGCAGTAAGCCTCCTCTCATTCCCAACGATTAGGTCCGGATAACGGAGAATATGCAGCCAGGATCTTCCCCAGAGGTGTTCGATTCATATCTTCCCCGCCTCGCCAGCCCCCATGATGTGGCGTCGTCAAACCCCCAATGCATACACGGTGTTGCCATAAGCCCACAAGGCAATCAATCTGTGGAGGCTAACCACAAGCCAAGATACCAGAGATTGCACGAGCAGGCTTTTATACTAGCAGCCTCGAGCTAAGCGAGAAGGCAAAGACTCGGTGAGCGGCGTTGGCGGACCAACAGTGACATGGACTGTTGGACGAAAGAACGATCACGTCAGGGGACAACATCGTGATGATCCAATCTCTTCTGGTTATAGAGGGGAATTGGGTAGCTACTGGTACGTATACGTAGACCGCCATTCGATTTGCTTTCTTCTCCTATCTGTTTGCATGTGAACCTGCAAGAGTTCGAACTCATCTTCAAACGTAACAGCTTTGGTGGTGCGCTCCAGTATTATATTTACCAGAACTATACATCAAAATCCTTCACTCGCTTTGTCAACCTTTACACCCATAGCCCAAGTCCTCATAAACTGTCAAACGCACCGAAAATGGTGATCGTCACCTTCCCCAAGAGCATTATGAAGTTCACAGACTTACCAACCTCTGACTCCGGCTACACCACCGCGGAGGGTGAGCAGCCCAAGCCTTCTGCTCCCTTGACTCACAAACAGCTCCTAGAAAGGAACCCGAAGGACACTGAGAATGTGACCTCGCGTCTGGCTACTGAAATAAGAGCCTTGAAGACCTACCACATCTCCAAGGATCTTGTCGGCCTCGCCCCCAGACGAGGATGGCCTTCCCACGAGGCGAAGGAAGAGGTGATGAGCCCTCGCATGAAGGAGCGACTTGCAAGATTGAGGGGCGATATCAATGGGCTGTTGAGACGGTAAGTAAGGTACTAGCTCCATTCCCTTTTGCGAACACAAGCTAACAACCCTGCCAACCTAATAAGAGCCTTCAAATCCTCCCCCAAAAACCTCCAACAAGCCCTTGACGACGACTACGGCTGCTTCAACCTGCTCTGGTTTCCCGACATCTCCTCGTACGACTCCTACGACGATCTTTTGACTGTCTCTCTGTATTGCACCTGGCTCTTCGTCTGGGACGACCTGACCGACTCCAACGACACTTCCTTCTCACTCGACGACGGGCTCGGTACCGACTTTGAGCGGGCTTGCTTCTGGCGCGAGGAGACGGTCAAGTTGGCCTGGGAGTGTATTGTTGGTGGTGATGACGATGGTGACGATGGTAACGACCAGTTGTTGTATTCTCCTGGAAGCAACATGGACGACAACATGCCGGATAGTAGTACCAGTACCCTGCTGACAGGCTCGCAACTCATCCTCCATGAATTTGGCAAGAGGATCCGGAAGAGTAGCAGGCTGAATCAAGCGCAGCGCGACCGCCTATTCCAGGAAACGGTGAGGTACATCAAGGGCTGTGAGATGGAGCAGGCACAGAGGCTGGCGGGGTACTTGCCCAAGAGCGGGGAGGAGTATTTTGATGTTCGGCTTTGCAGCAGTGCAATTTGGCCTTGTTTTCTGCTTTTGGAGTGAGTTTCTTTTCCGCCCCTTTCCCGTTCCTTTCTTGGACTTCACCGGAGAGTGCGATTGTGAGTGAGTGAGTAAGTGAGTGAGTGAATCAGTGAAATGATGCGACACAATCTTGTGACAGGATCTTCTCCGAAATCCCCATCCCAGACTGGGTATTCTACTCGCCCGAGATGCGAACCATCTGGAAGGATGGGAACTTTTTGGTTGTTGTGTAAGTCCACTCACCCACTCAGCTCGCTCTCTACCTCTCAGGGCCAAGCTTCCTCTATTCTAACACGCGATTTATCCATCACACAAAGCTACAACGACATCTTGTCCTTCAAAAAAGAACTTGCCACCGACTCCCTCATCAACATCATTCCGATATTCTACTCCTCCGGCGGCATTCCCTGGGACGAAGTCATGCCTACCATCGGGGACAGCATCGAAGCGGCTGTCCAGCGGATAGACGAGGCAACCCAAAAGCTGATTGCGATGACGCGAGACAATCTTGAATTGGAAAAGGCCGTGGTCCAGTTCATTGATGGAATCAAAGTCAATGTCACGGGGAATATTGGATATTCGTGAGTTTTGCTCCATTGGATTCGTGCAATCGAAAATCATCTTTGCTAACCCGAATGTTTGATGAGCTGGTAGGATTGCTACGAAGAGGTATAGCTCGCTCTTCAAGAACTTGAATGAGGATGGGACGCTTGTGATTCAGCTGTGAGCACAGCGGCGGCTCCCTCGTATAATGCTATGAAGCGAAAGAAAAAACGCATTTCGGAGTTGAGGTCGTGTTTTCTTTCTTGGGTTTTTTTTCCTGTGATATCATCCACAGGAAGAGCACGTACGGTCAATGGGACGAAACTTGGTACAACGCTAGTTGCAGAACTGAATCATGGTAGAATGATAGGAGACGAGAAATGCAATCACGCGACATTCGTTTTCCAAATTGACGCAGTCCTGATTCTAGGGGTGCCAATACATAGGTAAGTTGATACTGCCAAGTGGTGATCAGATGCGGCGGGAGGAAAGACTTTGGCCTGCAGTTATCGCATTGGCATAGGGAAAGACCAAGTTCGTGGGTACACAGGAACTAGGCCTAGCTGATTTTGACATCACTAAGCGCCAGTGGTTTAGTGGTAAAATCCATCGTTGCCATCGATGGGCCCCGCGTTCGATTCGCGGCTGGCGCATGAAAACTTTCTTTTTGAAATTTCCTCGTTGCTACATTTCAAAACCGGTGGATGAATGAATGGTTCTATCGGATGTGCTTTTCTTTTGGTATTGATTTTAGTTCGTGTTTTGTTTAGCCTTTTTCTTCCAGTGGTTTTCTAGACAGATAGATGCGTGTGACCTCGGTGTGATGAGAAGTGTCTGTGGCAATGATTTGGTTTGGTAGGGTCGATTTGAGGTGTGCATTTCATTGGGTTCATCCAGAAGTTGCCGTTTGGTCGAAGATATGTTGTTGGCATAACAGAAGTTGGAAAGACCAAATGAGACAGACCTTGGGTGTCATTTTCTGACAGACTATTCTGACTCTCGAGTAGGGAGAGTACTCGACCATAACGACATTTGATAAGAACCGTCGCTCTCCTTGCGTATTTCAGGCGCGATCCATGCATGGGTAAACACAAAACAAAAAGCGTCAAGCAATATCACGAAGCAATCCAGATCGTCTTTTCTTACAACCAAACACAAAGTGTCTAGTAGAACTCTAAGGGTAAAATAGGACACAAGAATGGATGAAGTAGTGGTAGGTACATGTACAAAAAAGTACCAACCAGCCAAGAATGCCAGGAAAAAAAGACTACACAAAAGTGAGAACTTTCTACAAAAATCGGAAAAAAATATTGAGACTCGGATACCGGGAGTCGAACCCGGGGCTGTTGAGAGAGCAGTCACTCCTGAGAAGTGAGAGTCAACGATGTTACCGCTACACCATACCCGATTGAACTGATATGGTCCGATTTTTGGTGAAGGTAGCGTCTGGAACTTGCACTCATGAACCCACTCACACCAAAAACTTTTCTGTCGTGCTGTGGTTGTGGGGCTGTTCGGTACTTGTTGATGTCGGGTGGATGTGGATCTTGTGGGTTCAAGGGTTCGTCATCCGGTTTTCAGGGTCCTCGTCGTGGGTCGTGGGGTTTAGCAATTGGCAGGGACTGACGGGGTTGCGGATGGGCGGATGTGTGACCCTGGGCACTTTTTAGGGTCAGGGAGGGGACTGCGGGCGTGGATGCGGTGGGTTTGGGTTTGGATGTGCTGGCGAATGGACCTTGGATGAGGTTGTAGGATTTGGGGAGGGATGAAGTGTTCAGGCTAGGGACTGGAGTGGACAGAGCTTGAGATCTGGTATCGCTCGTTGTGATGTTTCTTGGGAGGCTGGACATGAAAAAGAAAGGTCACTGCAGTATCACGATGATAACGTCCTGAGTTTTTGTTGCCGGAAAGCGAACATCAATGCTATTCCATGGTCTGTTCCACAAAACAAAAATGAACTCCTCTATATAACAAAGGTACTCAACGTCAACAATCTATGTATGTATGGTATCGGCGCTTCATTCATCAACAAATGCAAATCTCCCTCTTCGGACACCCAGCAAAGAAATCCAGAATATCGGGCACGCTTGCCGGCTCACTAATACGGAAGTATCCCACGCGTCTATGCAACATGTGTCCCGTTTGTTGCTCAGCTGTCGGATCCTTTTGCACCAGAATTAACCCTGACACATGTTTGTCGTAGCCAGAGTTATTCCAAGTGCGAGTCCGCAGCACAACCACGAAGAAGATGGTAGTTCCATCTTTGACGGGCTCGTCGAGCACAACCTGGAGACGTGCTTTAGGAAGATACTCCACCCAGAAACCCGGTGGCTCTCGCATTCCTAACCCAAGGGCCGTCTGGCGGTTGATGAGCGTCTTCAGTTTGATGACAACTTCTGATCCCGAGCCTGGTGCGGAGGTCAAGGCTGTGGGTGTAGGGACCGACACGTCGAGGAGTAGAGCCATGTACTCAAAGTCGTCGTGTGAACCCTCCAACCACGATTTCTCGTTGAAAAGCACGTCTCCTTCATTCGCAGCCCAGGACCACGAAGGGGCATTCGTTCCTGTGGGTGACTTTCGCCAGAATAGGTCGACGGAACGGAAGTTCCTGTACCAAAGAAGATCGAGAGGTAAGAACTCCTTGAAAGTGCCGGCTTCCGGGATGTATGTGAGACCCGTAAATTTTTGGACAGCTTCCGCAAGGCCGATAACCGCCGCCAGTCTGTCGGTCGTGAATGTCAGACTTGTGTCGGTATAGTACAGCAAGAACCGGTTCCACATGGCGCGCAGCTGTCGACTCCGTTTCAGGAAGTTCTTGGCCGCCATGGCTGCCCTCCGCTCATCCTTGATGTCGAGTTGGATTCCCTTGAACTTTTCCTTCCAACTTTGTTCGAAGATTTGCCCAAATTCCCTAAACCCTCTGACTTTGCTGAACCCCAAAAATCTGGGATTGTAGTGACGGATGTGCGGGTCAAGCGCGACGGGCCAGGATTCGGACATGGTCTGTTTTGTGCAATGGAAGTACACCTCTCGATCTCCGAAAAAGATTGTTCGGGGTGACAACAGAGCCTCCTGAACCGCCCAGCCTCTTTTGAGAAGGGGAAACGATCCCACTATTTCATCCGGACCTCGACTGAATTTCCGGTTTGACCCTTCGATGAAGGCATAGAGTCGATTTGGTTTCCCATCTGACTCGTAGAGTCGGCAAGGGAAGGCCACCAGAGGGTTCCTTTGCCGGAAACAGCCCTCGTCCCCGGCCTTTCCAACCATCGCGATGTTGCATGTTGTGCGTCCGTACACATTGGTCATGGTAGGTACTTCTCGCTCCCAATCTTCCCGAGAGTCTTGAATGATGCACAACGAGTCGATCCAGATGTAGCGATAACCGAGTCGCCGTGTTATCGTCATCGCATCGCGGAAATTCGGCGATAGCTTCTCTATCGGTATCCCTTGGAGCCACTCGCTCTCATTTTCCGTCGTGAGCTTCTCGGTAACTCCAGTTGCGTGCCATGAGTGGCTGACTGTCAGGTATTGCAAGTCGTCGGTTGGAGATGCGGAAGCTGAGGGGTAGAAAAGGCGAGGTTCGAGCTTTCCGGGACCTTCCCCGATGTCTATAAGTCGGGTCGGAAGTTCATCGGATTTCGAAATCTGCTCTCCTTGTGAATTGCATTCACCGTGGTTGTCGATACATTGCCGCAGCCAGTATCGTGCAAATTCAAAGGTGGCGGGCGCGTCTGTTGATATCCCGCGAGGTAAGTGAAATCCCCTTGCCTCATTGGGAAGAAGAAAATGTGTGTCTGTCATGTCGGTTAAAACCTGTCCAGGATGCTATGGATGAGTGTCGCATTGTCTTACCGTTGAGCAGAAGAATCGAAAGGTTGACAGTATGTTGGCGAGTGCAGCCATACCGAAACAAGTGATCCGCCTCCAAAGGCCCTCCGGTGTATATGAGCGCTGTCCCATCTTCCTCCTTCCACCCGGCCTGAACTCGATAGTATTTCCACTTTTCAACTGTGAGAATTCCGAAGCGCATAGACAAGCTATCATTATCAATGATTTCGTCCTGCAATGGCTCGATGCCCACTTTCACCAGCACAGGGCCATGCTCGCGTATTGGAGCCGCCGCTGACTTTGTCAGGGATTCATGTACAATGGTACAGATATGACAACCAGCCTGACTAGACCTTGCTAGGTCCTCCACGCCTGAGCTGTGGTAAAAGATCTCGCATCGGCGCCAGTCTTGTCTGCGTTGGTCGCCTTCATCCAGGCGGCGAAAGCATTCTTGAAGAACTGCAGATTTTCGCACGACTGTTGAGCACCGATCGCAGAGCTGATGAGGTGTCACTTTGTTGATGGCGGCGCTTGTTTTCGCAAGTGGGCCATCATGACACGGGCAGTTAGGCGTCATTGCCGAGTCCATGTCGACCACATGCATAGTGTCTGGTGAAAATCCCGGTGATGTGAAGGGTCGGAACAAAGGGTATACGAAAACAAAAACGGTGATGCTAAGGAGTGGTCGGATGTAAATACGTAGTTGTATGGATGATGAAGTCGGTTCTTCCGTTGTTTTCTGCCCGAAAGCCTGTCACTGAATACCTGGAAGGGGCCACTGTTTGGGCTGGGCGAACAGCGTCATACCCAGGCTTGCCAGGGCCCAGATGCATCTCGCGACAGGGATGCGGCGTCGAGCGTAGCTCACAATAACAGCGATAACGGAAATAGGGAAACGTGACAGAAAAAATAATGAGGATAAACACAAAAAGAGGAAAAGGGGAATTGCAAAAACAAATTGGCTGTGAGTCAACAATAAAAGGGCCACAAACTCGGTTCAAACTTCACCCGAAAACCAGGTCAGCTGAGAGCTTTTGGAATGAAGAAGATCGGGGATGTGAAAGGGTAAAGCGGGTCTGGATTTGATAAGAATACTACCTTTCGAGATGATGTTGACATGGTAACGGGGGACGGGCCGGACGGCCTCATGTAAGGGGTAGCAATGACCTTCTCAGTCTTGGCAAACCCAATAACATCAGAATCCTCTCATGAACTCCTCCAACGAGATCGGTTTCCGGACAGCATTATTGATCCCTTCGTGATAGGTGACCCACACCTTGATGTCCTTCTCATCGCCGGCCACGTTGCCCCTTCCCCTCCTCTTGCTCTCATTACCATCGCCCCCGCCAGCGGCAGCGTTGGCATTCCCGTTCTTCTCATCCAAAGGCCTCTTCCTTTCCGCAATCACCCGGCCAAAGAAGTCTCTTTTAACTTCCTTTTGATCGGCCAACATGGCCATATTCTCCTTATTAGCGTCAAGGACCATGGCGTCGAGAGTAGCAGCAGGGGGAGGCTTGAAAGTGGAGTTAGTCTGCCCGTTATTCATCCGCGCTTGCCTGGCAGCGTTCTCGCGCATTGCGATGGTCTTTTGCAGCTCTTGGTCTAGAACTTGGCGGACGGCATATCGGGTTGGCGCCTGGGAGGCTAGGACAAGGGCGCCGGCTGTCTCAAAGGTTGCGAGCGTGTCGAGGTCTCTGTTGTTGAAAGTCAGTATCGGTTAGAAAGCAAGCAGAGTAATCGAGCACTTACGGTTCCATGCGATAAACCCACTGTGTCCGGAACTGCTGCCCAAGCGTCGGATCTTGCTCAATCTTGCCCTTTTGCAAAGCAATGCCAACCTCAGCGAGTACTTGAGCTGCTCTCCTGACCATCGCCTTCTCGCCTTCCCTCCTTACACTGGCCACCGCCCCGCTCTTGTCGCTGCCACCGACTACCACGGGCTTCACATCGGGAGATATGAGACGGACCAAATATGACAGGAAGTGTGTAGAAATATCCTCAGGGCTGCGGAACAGACGATGGAGACTAGGAGGTAGTTGCCCTTGCAGTCCCTGCAGCGCTGCCCTGTTCACCTTCTCCGCCTCGTGTGCCTCAAAGTTTGCCCTTGGACCGCTGAATGGCAATGGGGGCGCTGTGTCTTCCTCCATTGCGTCACCCCATCTCCTTTCGGTGTTCAGAGGCTGATGTCTCTTAGGTGAAGCGAACAAGTGGTGGCATGCTAATGGCGGCTGGGAGATGTACTGACCCAGCTCCCACTCCTGACTGGAGTATAGCCTCGTTGAACATGTGTCATGGAAGTACATCCACTCATACGCAGCATCGGGCTTGGTGAGGAAGGAGTCGTCGTTGAACTCGCGGTTGGGATACTCGCTGAAGATCTCGGTCATGATACGGTCAACCTCGCCGCTCGTATCAATCATCTCCCTTAGTCGCGCCATGGCATACTTCTTCCGCTGCTCTGAGAAGCCGAGGTTTGCCTGTGGTTGTTCGTGTTTGGCATACTTTGGTTGCTCAGCCTGTGTCATAGCCGGCTTCGGGAAACCCCCGCCCTCTTGGAAAATGCGGCTCACAATCTCTTTGACGCCACCGCGACCGAGACCACGGGCACCTCCACCACCATGAGCGAGATCATGGACGATATTTTGATCAATCCACTGCCTTGTTAGGACCGGTGTGCTGGTGATGGTAGCTCGTAACCTTCCCGCAACCCACTCTCCCACCACCATGATGCCGCGGAGATCACCTTCGGCATTGCCCTCGGCTCCTCGCTTGGCGTCAATACCACTGGTCATTCCCCATGCGGCCTCGCAGAGCTTGCGCGCAGCATCCTTTTCGCACGGGATTCCCTCCTTTTCAAACACAGTCTTGAGACGTGTGACCACCGCCTCAACGGAGGGTTTGCCGACGTGAATGATTTCGGCAAGGCCTGATTGGCGTAACGGTCGAAGCGATGGGTGGTAGACATCGTTACAGATCAGAATAAGGGGTCTCATTTGTCTGAAGTCGTCCCCTTTCTTCTTTTTGCGGCTTGCCGCGGTAGAAGTCCCAGGGCCGGAACTGTTCTTCTGGTCTAGGAGCACCAGATCAATCAAGGCTTTGACGAAGCCACCCTCGCCAGACCCTCCTGAGCCACTAACCACACCATCAACTTCGTCAACTACCACGCACACCGGTCGAGCGATCTTTTGTTGTTTTCCGGCTTCGGGCTTCTTGTTCTCCACCGTCTTGACTGACTCGGTTCCGAGACTTGTACGAATCCGACCTTTGACAACATCTTTGCTTCGGTCGTCACTGGCGTTGATCTCCATGACTTCGTAACCAGCTTGTCGCGCGCACACATGCGCCAGGGTTGTTTTACCCAAACCGGGCGGGCCCGTCAACATGAGGATTTTCCGATGCGGCTTTTCCTCATCTGGCTGTTGATTTTGCCCTTGTACGCCATGTCGCCGTGATGGCTTGCTCTTCGCAACATGTGGGAATACTATGGGGTCCCATTTCTTGAGCCAGCGAAGCACCTGCCTGTTGGTCAGGTCATCGCCAACAAGATCCATGAATGTTCGGGCACGGTATTTTTCTGTCCATAATAGGCTCTTCTTGTGCTTCTTGGGGCTTGTCGTGTTTGCTTCGACCGATCGTATGGGCCTGTCTGGGTTGGTTGGAGGAGTAATGGGAGCTGTGGCGGCTGCTTTCTGTGCTTGGGCAATTTCGCTGGTGGCGTTGTCGATAAGTTCGTGGATGTCAATTCCGTAGTAGCTCTTCTTGGCTCGGCCTTCTTTCGTTCGCGATCTTGCTGCTACCATGGTCTCATAGGAGACTGGCTCTGTTGGTTTGCGCTCCCGGATAGGGATGGACATACCGGAACATGTCGAGATGCGGTAGGAGGGCGCATTGAGGTAGTCACTGAGTAAAGTTGTAGGGAGCGCCGGAGTTGACGTCTTTGCACCGAATAGGCGCTCGTATCGTTCTGTTTCCTCTTCGGGGTCTTCGTCAATCGCTAGCTGACTGAGAAGTAGTGGTTCGGTTGTCTGGGTATCCGTTTGGATGTCATGCTGTAGCATCCGTCGCTTCGGGGATCGTTCCAGAGAGGCATTGTCGTCGTCAGAGTCGGAGTCATCGTCGGCGAGGAAGCCACCTAGGGCGCGGGGTTTCGTGGTTTTGGGGGTATCGGAATCGCGAGGCCGTTTTGTGGTTGCGGTTGCGGTTGCGGTTGCGGTTGCGGTTGCGGTTGCGGTTGCGGTTGCGGTTGTGGTTGTGGTTGTGGTTGTGGTTGCGGGCGGCGGACTGGAGGGGAATGCGATGGGCGATGAGGGCGGGAACATCTTCAATTTGACCGAAGGTTGACCTCGTGAAAACAATGGTTGTATATAAAGGAATCGGCCACTTGAACAACGTCCAAATCAGAACAAAATGAAAAGACAATGTAGCTTACTTTGCCCTTCCCTTCTTGGGTGACCGCGGGGAAACACAGCTCTCAGACGCGTCCCCAACCGGTACTTTTTGCGAAACCGCGTCTCAATTAACGTATGCTGCCTCGCTGCCAATGCGTCTTGGCATACTGGTGGTCTGTGCTCAACCAGGAGATGTTATCAACAAGACCATAGACAAAGAGCTCTGGAGCATACAGTTATGACTTGTTTGAGCGAAACATATGGGGCTAGAGTGCGAAGCTTTATTTTAAAAGGCATATATAATTTCGTTTGTTCTTATGTCCGGCCTAGGGATTTGAACAGAGAGTGTATCCAACAGACCGTTAGCAAGGTACTTGTGATACCGGCACCTCACATCACGGTCCTTTATCTGCGATAAGGAAACAGCAGCAGGGCATGTCTCAATCCGCGATGATGCAAGAGCTTCTTCACCCTTTCTTCACCTGCACCTCGCATTAAGGGGGACTCATCGCTTTCTACGTCTTTATCTCTTCACTTCTTTTTGATATACTATTCTAGTTGTGAAAATCGCCCCATTCATTACGGTTCCTCTATTCTCCGCTGCATGATGTCGGCACAATTATGGATTCCCCTATGTCCCTCTCGCTACACTCCCATCCAGGCTTGGGACAGCATGTAATGGACAAGCCCTGAAGTGATTTTCAGTATTTGATGATATCACCTCTCAAACACCGTACCAGTTACACCACGGAATCTCGCGGCTAACCTAGGCCCCAACTTGGGGCTCCTCTCGTTTATCATGAGAGACCCATACGCCCCGTACAATATGTGGTAAAGTAATGCGTCCCATTCCTGAGGTATTGGCATGTTCTAAATTCTGACACGACGTACAGGACTAGGGCATCACTGAATGTTTTCGAATCCCTCCATCATGCGTCTCCTGTGCCTGCCTCTCGTGGGATCCCGCGAGTTGTCCGCTTGGACCAGTTCGGAGAGGCGGCTCCTGGAACAGTTGCCTTGGAATCACGGTTTCCATCTCTTCTTGAGCCATCCCGCCAAAGCTCGCTCATAATATCGTCAGTGGCTGAGAACTCGGCCGTCCGATCCTGCCAACTCACCTGGTGCTTGCCCTCAAGTGGGAAGGCTGTCAAAAGCTTGACAAAACTTATCAGCGACTCTCCGCGGTTCCCGTCTCGAGACCGCCAGAGGCCCGTCTATGTTCTGGAACTCCTAACAGCGTTGGACTGTGCCGCTGGTGCCTTCGCTCGCTCGGTTTGCTTTTATAATACCCATTATATGCTTCCATATTTCGCCCCCCTAACCAAGCCTAGGCCCTTCTCATGACAGACTCTTATATAGGCGGGAAATGAGGGGAAACTGAGGACAAGCAACAACTTCATCCCATATTGCCAGTCCTCCCGCCCGAGGTTGTCCAGATTGTCAACGACCAAGCGGTCGGGGATATTCGGAAGGCCGCGAACTAGTACGAACGGGCTTCAGCCTCAACCACATGACTGTTGCCTAGTACCCTACTCGCAGAAGGGAGCATCCTCGTTCTATAATCTCCGTCTGAAGTTTACCGGCACCGCTCGTTAATCAACGCAAACATCGGCCTGTTAGTGTCATGGATTTCTGTTTGCCATGAACTTCGCTCGGTTCTAGGCGCCATTCTGTGAGATTGACAGGTGGGATAGCTGGCTGGGTGGGCGTTGGAGGCGTATGAATACTTGAAGGTTCCAGTCACGCACCGCTTTTTGGGCAGTTCCCTCCTTTGCTCCAGTATCTCGTCTTTGCACAAGGACGATTCCTGGCTTCCTGCATTCGTGCCTGAGTCAGCCGTTGAGTAGACCTTGGTTTCTTGGATAAACACTGATCCAAAGAACCGTTTACAGCTGGAGTCACGCCTTCTAAACTTTGCGCAGCCGAGATCGGACCTTCGAATAACTCATACTTCCAAGATAAGGTCTCCTTGTGATCGTTCCTGCTGACCTGAACAACAATCGCGCAATAACCCGAAACTGTTTTTGAGTGCAATCCGGACTCTTACAGAAGCAGTCCCGTCCATTTGACTACAGGGGCTAGCTCCGACGTGACCGACAAAAAGTCCGCAACCTTGAGCACCATCTCTAACTCGATCCTCCTCAAGCGTGCTTGACTCGAACAGAGGTGCTACATTCACCTACACCTAACCAGCTTCATTCGTCTACAAATACCTGCCTCGATCCCGTATCACCAGTCAGTTGGGAATACTCAACCAATAATCCAGCCAGACCTTGTGAGGAGCTTGTTCTGAGCATCCCTCTAAAACACGATTCGTCCCTCCGGGAATTTCCAAATACATACCGGCGGGATCATTACACAAAGCAGAGGAGAGGGAACAATCAACAACCTCACCAAGTTTTCCTTCCTCGCCACCCTCTGCTTTCACCTCCCACCCCCCACGTGCTGGCGTGACGTGACATCCGTCTTCGGTACTAACTCCAGAAAGCCCACAGAGACACAGGCGACGGGCGGTGCAGAAAAACACAGGTGACCAGCGGTAGCCATCAGGCATCAGGAAACAACAGACGACAGAAGCTACAAGCTCGTGCCATCGTCCACCCACAGTTAAACGGCACACACACACAGACACACACAGCTTGAGCATCACCAAGTGTAGTCTGCCTACCTATCACTTACTCCTACTACGACTACTACCAACCTGCCTAGCCGTAAAGGTACATACGAACAACCGCGCACCAACCAGCACTGAGCCTCCTTCCAGTCCATTAAACCAGCTGATAGGAGGGAACCACTGGCCGGAAGCAAACAACCCCAAACTAGGCGATCCCACCAGCGCAAGAGAGAGGAGGAGGAGAAACATACCTAGGTAGGCCCTAAAGTCCTACTCACCCATAAAACCTCACAAGCGCCGTACAGCCACAATCCTTCCGACAGAATCATTACCCTCTTACAAACGAAACGAGGGACACAAGGAAGAAGCGCGTGTACGTGGTTGGTTGCGGCTAACTCACCTCTGAGATTCCTTCTTTTCCTTCCTTCTTTCTTATCCCCTTCTACTTCCTTTTCCAACAACCTTCTTTTTTTCCCTTCCTTCTCGGATGTAATTCTAACGCCTGTCTCTTCTAATTTTTTATCACACAGACACACGGTCACTCACTCACTTACTACTTAGTATCCGTATTACTACCTACCCTTCGCTACACCAACCAAAAATCCCGCCCGTCCCGCGTGTAACGGCGGAGTCAACTTGGCTTGGCCAGGCACCTTTAAGCCCACGCGAGAGAGCGGAGTGTGGGAGAGAGAATACGGAAAACCGTGTGAACTGACACTTTTCCCTTGCAATACCAACCGGGAAGAACGGAAACGGACCCAAAAATCCAGCCATCATCATTTTCACTAGCGAGTAGGAAGAGCAACCGAACCGAACGAACAGGGTAGGTTCACAAACCAGCAACCAGCAACCAGCAACCAGCAACCAGCAACGAACAAAAAGAAGAAAACATTCGCTTTATCCTTATCCAGCCCTACCTACCTTACCTACACTTGTCCCATTGTTCCCATCCTTCGTGCTCACCACTTCACCAGTCGCCTTAGCCGTGCAAGACGAACCGAACGCAGACCGCGACCGGACCATCGCCTCCTCTTCTCTCACCACTTACCATACCTATTGGGCAAAAAGAGCAAAGCCCGTCCGCTTCGAGCGCCTACCTTCGCCGGGTGAATGATCCTATAACCCAACGAGCAAGGCATACATACAAACGAGCGCGTCTTCAGTCCGCTGGTATTTTGCCCCCCTTCTAGGCCTTCGTCTATTTTACCCCAAACGAAGTTGTGGCTGTGATGGTGCTGTAGGTGGTGTCATTGAAGCCACCTTTTCGCCCATCGACGCACGCACACACCCATCCCATATCAACGACGAAACAACCAGACGGGTTAAAAGGAGTTGACTCAGCCCCTTCACACGCACTCAACACCTACCAGACCAGCCAGCTCGTCAGCTTGCGAGATACTCCGGTGGATGGCCCATAGCAGGCTGCAGACGTGAGCCACAACCAATTTCTCCAAGGGGTATTTATTGAAGATTTTTTTCCCTCCTTGGCTGATTCAGGAACTATTCCCTTAACAAGGCCGAATCAGAATAGGAGATATCAGATCTTCACGCAGGACCAACTGCCATCGCCATTGCCATTGCCGTCAACCAAACTCACGCATAAGAGCAGGATACGGGAAGTCCGAGACACACGCACATACACGGCCAAGAGTAGCCCCCCCCCCCCCATCATTTGACAAGGCGGGATAACACGTAACGGTACTCCGTGTTGCACGACCATATCCATTCTTACCCACCAACAGCCGACCCGTATACGCTGTATACGGTTCCCTCCACGGGATATTTTCACGAGGGCGTAACAGTCGCGGCTGCGCACAAACATCGCTGGGAGCTTGTGGCCAGGACTGTCGTCGCTGACAGATCAAGCCAAATCTTGTATGCTACCACTTCCTCCTTCCATTTACACGTCATAATACCCATGCACCTAGTTTCGAGGTCAAAAACCCGCTGTACTGGACCTGCCGTATGGTGTGAGTCCGTGATAGAACTAACGAACAGTTACAGAGTAGCCCTTAGGTAGACCAAAAACGCCCGTCGTGCAGGTATCGACCCAGGAGGTGGTGGATGACGGCAGCGAACCAAGGAAATCCCGATCATCGGGACCAGAAGGACGGAGACAAAGGTCAGTCGCAGCAAGGTAAAAAGAGCGGACCACTCGGCCCCCGGCCAGGCTCGGGCGTAAACAAGCGAACGACCAAAGCCAAGGGTGGACGAGGAAAAAAGTCACTTTTGAGACGTTCCATCGACCCCGACAACATCATGGCAAATCCAAACATCGCGTTGGTTTCCACGCCAGCAGACACTCCATCGCCCTTCCCTGACCCAACGCCTCTGCAGAGCGACGCCGATGCAAAGTATGAAGGAGAGCGTGCACGTAACAACCAGTCAGCGAAACGCTCCCGCATTCGCAAGGCTCTTTACGTTGTCGAACTTGACAATGCCGTTACGGGATACGAGTACAACTTCAAGCTCTTCTACAAGATGTACAAGGAGCTTAAGCAGAAGCTGATCGATCATGGTCTTGGAGGCGATCTTCCCCGTGACCCGCCCATCTGGGTTCGAAAGCCGATCCCTGTAGGCCAGGACGTCGACACTCAGGAGTATCGCAAGAAGCTTGAGACGGCGGTAGAGAGTGGCGAGCTCGTCCCACTCGGGCTCGACTTTGCTGAGTCGGTGGCCCTTCAGGTCGGCAAGACGACGGGATCAGCACAACTGACTGAGGAATCCAAGGCGTTACAGGACGCAAAGGAGAAGTACGAAAAGACAGTCAAACAGGAGGACAAGTACGCCGAGGAATTGCAGGATATGGAGAAGAAAATGCAGGACCTGCAACACAAGCTCTGGGAGGTCCAACATAACCGACAATCGCTGGGAAGTGTGGTGGACCGGTATCAGGCAAGGATATCCGGACAACCGGGCGACAACAACATGGGCCCCTCTGCTCTCCAGGGCAATGGCGTGAATCTGCCCTACAGGCCACTTGTGCCTGAGACTGCTCATCTTCCCCAAAGACTTCAGAAAATGGCCTCGCAAGGGCGGAAAGAACGTACCCTCGAGGAACTTGCAGCTTCATGGCCTGTAAGATCCTGTCTCGAGAGTCACCATATGATGATGGATACGGATCAGAACCCATTTGAGCCTAAGATGGAGCAGCCTGGAGAAGTCCAACTTGGTGATCTTCCGGTGCCAATATTCGACGGATATCCCCAGCAGGGTCAGCAACACCAGGCTGAACCCGATCATCCACCGATTGACAGTTTCACTCAGTGGTGTCAGGCTCACGAAAATTCCAACTCGTTTGTTTATTCAAATGCTGCTGGTATTTCGGAGGTAGTTCCCTCTGGTAACTTCAGTGAGTATCCGTGGCCAGGCGAGGGTGTCGACTTTACTGGAGAGTCACACCAGATGGGTGGTGATGGTCATTTGCCAGGAACGGTCCACGATCCGGTGCTTCCAAATCCTCAATCACCTTCGCCGAGTAATTACTTTGCCGATCTTCAACTGAGTCCAGAAATGGGTAATATGTTTATGGCTACCGGCGATCAGAGCTCTGGCGACCAGAACCAAGGAAACTATCACGAACCATACGGTCAGCAGACAGATCAGTTCAACCAGTTTTACTGATCACCCATGGGAGGGTCATTCGAAGGGGAGGAATTAGGTTTCGGGTTCGCTTTTATTTCTTCCATACACGACAGGATACCAGAATCATCATAGCGAGGCGTTCTTCTCTTTCGGCAAGTGAATGGGAATTGGGAGTTGTTTTTGGCTGTGGAAGCTTTTGATTTCCGCGCCTAGATGGATACAAGGAAGACCAGTCAGATTGGGCCAACGGCCTTTGATGAAATAAAGAGGGTGGGTTGTATGGAAAGGGCCATTGGACGTACCTCTATGGTTAGGCGTGCACGACTGCGTACGCCGTGGTGTAAGGGAACAAGAGCATCAAGAACATGACCGGGCAACGAGTTTTCCGTCATGGTACACCAACGTCGTACAGCATATCTGCAATGTTAGATTGCAATATCGCTCCATCAATACTCCTGGTCTGATGGGAAGGGGATAGAAAAATGACAAGACAAAGATAGTCACACACATGGGTAGCTCTTCCGCTTTGCTTTCCGTGTCGCACATGTTCTATCTCGTTCCCTCTCATTTGTTACAAGGGGAGCGCTCGCCAGGAGATTCCGTAGGATTGCAAAAGTTGGTACTAGAAGAAATTTCGAAGTTGGATAGACGATACAGCTTTTTGTGACTGATGCTTGTTGTGCTTTGTAGTTCAATGTGGTCGTAACTTTGCGGTGTGTATGTCGAGGTGACAGACGGTGTCAGCTTTGCCTTGGGTCTCGAGAACTGACATTATCGCAAAAGGGCCCTCTAGACTTGCATCGTCAATGTCATTATCAATAGTTTATTACTGGAGGACGTAGCTTGTCTGTTATATAGCAGTGTGTCGACACTTGGCTGAAGATATAGGTAAGTGACCTCCAATGGACTCGGCCGTAGAAAAGCAAGAAAATGAGCTGCAAAATATCAACGAGCGTGTGTGCCAAGATCACGAAGAGATTGTGGCTCTGTTCGAAGGTGTGACAATGCGGGCGTCGTGTCCAAAGTGACGGGAAGTATCGTGAGGCAGCTGACCAGTGAGAACCTGGAGGGGGTAAAAGAGACACCCAGATCGTGATGCAGGTACAATCTCAAATTGGCGAATAACAATTAAAAATGTATCTTGGAGTGGAAGGTCAGAATGGACTGGTTGATGACTGATGCCTTCCACATTTTAGTAGTCTTTTTTCGTTGGGGCAACCAGGGGCAGGCAACTACCACAACATTTTACGGTGCACCTGCCCTTCAAAACGGTTTCAGAATTTTGAATGAGCTCATCCCTGAAGGAATCAGCGTCCCTTCCAGTCCTCAGTGAAGACAAACCTTTCTGCGTTCCACGTCAAGGTGTAATGCGCGTACCAAAGGCTAACCGCCGCGGACACACTGGCGGTTGACTCACAATGTTTCGTTTCCCGAACGGTCTTAAACCCACAACACTCAAGTATTTGGGATTGTCAATCAGTAAGTACCGACTGGAGTAAATGTCGCTATCGTCATATCAAAATAACTGTTACTCATTAATTATTTCCTAGCTAAGTCTCGTCTCACCTTTTGTGAGCGTGACATCATCAGATCCTCCAATATCGTGCCTTCTCCCTTTGACCGTGGTATCTCAAAAAAAGTAAACCTGACAATACAAAAGAATGGAAGTTTTGGCTAGTCACCCGTTACGCAACTCCGATCGAACCGCTTTCTGCGCAGACAGCCCGTTCAGCGCTGGGATATGTACCACAAACAAGAAGCTAGCGATGACCATCAAGCAACCCCCATGATGCCTACGCCATTCCCAGAGACAGTTCCCGGTCTCTAAAGCCAAATAACCATACAAGTTTTCGAGGTCGTCCATCTACTGTGTCGCATAGGGCTGTTGTGAATATGCCGGTTGCTGGGGTAGCTCAGAGGTAGTGGCGGGCGCAACAGGAGCGGTTGGCTGCTGCACTTGTCCAAGCTCGGCTTGGCTGAGCTTCGGCGCCGTGACTTCGCGGACACAGGCGAGGATGAAAAAGACAAGATCGATGATTGACAGGACCCTATGACAATACTTTTAGTACGGTCGAGAGAAAAATAGTCGGTAGATTTGGGAAGCTTACCACGCAACAGCACCTAGACCAGCGCACACAGCCAAGGCTGAGCCATAGTCATGAACCTCACCACCATACCCTTCAGTCCAGTCAAGCACGAGAGCTGCCTGGCTTGCAGCATACGCCCAGCCCACAAGCCAGAAAATGACCGCGAGACTGTAAAGAATAAGACCGACGATACGGTAGAACAGGTGAGGCGCGCCAAACTGGATTCCGAGGGAGCCGCCGTAAACTACAAGACTCCATATGGTCTGAAGAAACCATCAGTTAGTTCTTGCACCAGCTTCGAACGCCAGAGACTGTCACATACCACGAAAACCATCATCCCACTAGAGCCTGTATATCCATAAGCCGCCGATCCTCCTCCGGTAAATAGCGAAACAGCCCACGCCGCAACGCCCAGAAGAACAAGTGATAGAACGAGGATGGCGATCCGAATGTAAAAGATCCACGATGGGAACGGAGGAACCCCAACAGCGGTGAGTCCACGTGCTGACGCCATCTTGTCTTTTGCGCCGCTCTGAGCTTTTCGGTATCGATATCGATCGGTAACTAGGTCGACGTTGTTTGATATCGGTGATTAGATTCTGATACAGGGCGTGGATCAAGAGCCAGATATGGGTTGTTTAAGGCTTGAAGACGGGGGAAACAGAGCTGTAATATTCTGCTCTGTCCAAACAAAGAGAAGGGCTACACGGTAACCTACCTACCCTCCAGCCCTTCTTATTCTAATCTTTCCCTTCGCCATCTTCAGCCCGCAGCTTTCTAATCTCCCCATTGTCAAGCCACTGATGGCACCCATTGGCTGCCTCCCCTCCCGCCTTTCGATTTCGGCCACACACCTTATTGTAACGTGAGGGATGACTCTACTCTTCTCCACCCTCCACCGTCCGGTTCTGGCTGATATGACCGCGAAAGGGGGTTTATGTAGGGTGACAGCATCAAGCCAAGAATGCTCTACTGATGAGCCCTGCGCGTGTTAGACGTGGGTGGTTTAGGGAACATGACCAGGTGCCAAAGCTGCGATTCGTGGAGGACAGTGCCAAGTCGGTTGGAAAGCTTGGGTCTCGCTTGGGAGCTGTAATGAAAGAGGTCCCCTGTTACACAAGACACAACGCCCATAGCCTTTCCTTGTGGCACCTCTTTCGGTTTCCGGACAACATCTTCTTTGACTGGTCTTGTACTATCTGTTTCCCCTCCTCTGTTGGAGGAACTTACCGTAGCTTGACATATTAGAGGATCGAAGCGATTTGGGCACTGACAACTTGCCAACCCGATTTCATGGCTGTCGGATTCTGTGGGTCAGTGGTGTTGCTTTTGTAGCATTCCTGCCATGCCGAGAAGGCTGAGACGAACGGAGGACGAAGTAGGAAACCATTGCGGAAAGCGTCAAGATTGATCAGCATAAGACAGGCACAGAGGTACAAACACAGGTGAGAGACAGGGTCCTCGTCTCACCGTCCCCTCAGAAAGTGGGTGTGCTACCCCCGCAGTTGGGCATTATTGTTCTTGGGAGCACCCATCTTTGGCGTTTTCACATGCCGCTGATTGGATAGACCGGCAATGGACAGGAACAAGAATAGCATCGCCAAACGGCCTGTGATCAATGTCTCCCAAAGCATCACACAAGGCTCGCATGGGAGTGTTGCAAAAAGTGCAATTTAGCGATGGGTGCAGCTGAGACTAGCGAGGACGGCAACGTGATGACGTGCAGTAGCTCTGGGTTGAGCCGGCACTTAGATAGGTCTCGACGACTTGTGTTAGTAGCTCAGAATGGCTCCATCGGTATCACTAACGGCTTTTACGCTTCATTAACACTGAACCGCTGGAAGCGAGAGACCCGCGATAAGACGGGCGAACTGAGCACCGGCAGATCCTGGAGATTTGACCCTTTGATCTTGTTCGTCCGAGACTTTGCATACAACGAAGAGAAAAGCAGGTTCAAAACTCATGATAACAAACGGCCACAGAGGAAGCTCACCAATGCCCAGTTGTTGAGCTGCCAGGAACGGACAAGCCATATACATGTTCGACGATCCACGTGGAAGGAAAATGCTCTTCTTATAAAGTCGGATTGATGAAGAAGAGGCGCAAATGCATATGCGAATTTCTATAAAGCTCCGTTGAGTTCCATCGTGATGTCCCGAATTCCTTTTTCGTGGTGTTTGCGGCGAACAAAATGCGTCCGTGGTCAAAAAGCAACCATTCTCGATCTGCCGGTCTGATTTTCCCTATCCAACCCTAAGCCGCTGAACAAGATGGGCGGACTGATTCCCCGCAAATGGCTGGTGATGACTTCATTATCGCAGCCAGTTAATGTGGGGCTAGAAGCCGTAGAGGTTCCCGTCCTTTTTACAAGCAATACATCATCACGAAACTCTGTCTCTTTCCTTCGGAGTCTAAGTCATCAACTCATCGAACTCAATCGACTGAGATAGTTCTGTCCGTCGAAATCCTCTCGTCGCACACTCGAGCCAGCTTCTGCACCTCCTTGCGGCGGTTACAGCATTCACACCACCTGAAAGCGACAACTACAGCCACAACAACACATCGTAATCACCAAACACTCAACCCTGCAACAAAGACAAGCGCAATGCCATAATGTCTGCCGGACCACGTCGAAGCACCATTCCTGGCCGGGTGACCTCTTCTTTCCCCATCAGCTCCGTAATCTTTTACGGCCTGGGCGCCGGTCTCGTCGGCGTCACCATGTACGTTCGCACTTACACAGTTACACTCCCCTTCGCGCGCCCCCACCTCCTCAGCCCCTACGACAAAAACCCACCTTTCCACCCAACCAACTCACTAACCACAATCCAAATCCAGGATGACCCTAGCCGAAAAGTCCGAACAACTCCTCACCTCCCGACCCAACTCCTACGTGCCAGCGCGCACCCTCGAGCGGCTCATCTCGGTGCGGGCCTCGACCGACACGGAGCTCTGGGGCCTCAACATGGCGATGCATTACGGACAAGGCGCCGCGGCGGGCGTGATCCGGGCGCTGATGAGCTGGAACGGGATTCGCGGGCCCTTTGCCGACCTGATCTTCGTCGGGGTCCGCTTGCTCATCGATCAGACGCTGGAGAACTGGACTGGCGTGGGCGCGCTGCCGTGGACGTGGCCGGTCAACGAGCAGGTGATTGATATCCTGCACAAGACGGTGTTTGCGGTGGCGACTGGTTGGGCCGTGGATCGGTGGTTGGTTAAATAAGGGGGTTGCGTTGGGAGAGTTAAGTTGTTGAGATATGTATGATATGGGAGTTCGCAACATTCAATAGATTTGTAGTTCACGGGTTAGTAACGAAGCATAATGACAATATCACAATGTCAATGGCAATGGCGATGGCGTCTATGACGTGACCATTGGGCGCGAAGGTGAAGACCACCAAGATGATCACGGAAAAAAGATATTAAAGAACAGGTACTCAAGCAAGGCTATGAAGCCAATGTTAAGAAACATGCAAAAGGCAAAAATGAAACCCGTGATCCAGGAGCAGAAAAAGAAAAAGTTACAAAAAGAGAAACTTGCTCCTTCGGTAAGGATCGAACTTACAGCC